TCAAGCATCGTGTACAACGAGTTAGTTTCCAACCTTCAAATATAACCTCACCGAAAAAAAAAAAAAAAAAAACCTTAAATGCATGTATTCAACTCGAAAGTCGGATTAGGCCCATTAAAAGCACAATAAACTATCATCTGGAATTAGCAGACCGAGCATCCATGCCAAAAGAGTCAGCACAAGTCAAGCCGCTTCTTGCTCCTTATCCCCCTAAATAGTGTTTACATTTTTTCCTAAAGACAAGAGCGAGTAGTGTAAACGGCTTATGGCCATCTGTACCTACCTCTTCCTCCTATACTTACCCAAAAGGGGAGGAGGTCGAGATTAGCGGTTAACCATATGTTGCTGGTGTTTGGACAAGAAACGAGAGAGACAGAGAGCGAAGTAGTCGCGAGACTCCTTAATCAGATTACGAGAACGAAAGTGATTAATTTTATTCTTTGTTGGTGGTAATTTCTTTTCTTGTCTATTTGTTTATTTGTTTTTGTTTTTTTTTTTGTTTTTTTTTTAAATAAATTAAGTAGTCGTTACTTAGTTTTTTAACATAAAGAAAATTAAGACGGATAAGAAAAATACTGTCATCACATTTGTGCTCATTAAAATCGAAGATAAAAATACTACAGCTTATTGTTACGTTCGATTTTTATGAAGTTGTAGTTACCAATTTCTTATAATTGCTTAGTTTATTAATAACGTGTCGCTTATACCTACTTCTGAATATAAATACTAATTATAAAATTCAAACAAAATTCACTTTTTTTTCGAGTACACTATAATATTATATTGATGAAAAAAAGTCTAAAGCAAATTAACAAGTAAACAAAGACAACATCTATTGGAAGTGTCTAGCCATAGCAGAGTTCAATTTTGAGATGACAATGAGTAAAACCAACAAACAGGAAAAGGAAGAGAAAAAACTATACTTATAGGGACCAAAAACAATGAGAAAGAAGAAAAAAGGGGCAAATCGAATCATGACATGTAACGCAAACGGGATTACGGTAGCATATGGTTCTGACGTCTAAATGTCGCCGTAGCTGCGAATGCTGTCCAATTATCCGGAAAGACAAGATTAAGGATTCTCACATTACTTAAAAGGACCTTTTTCTTTTATTTTTCTTCCCTTTTCTTCTGACCCTTTCAAGATGAAAACTGGATCGTTGAATTCGTCCTGTTTTCCTTTGTAACATCTGGTCGTACTTTCGGATGAATTTTCGTTTGGCATTTTTTCCCTTCCAATTTTTAACACATACTTTTGGAAGTCGTATACTGCATTTTTGTACAGAATACATAGAAAAAAAAATTTTATTTTACCCAATTATACAATATTTTACCAAAAGTAAAATTTACTTATAATCCCTATTTCATGAGCTTAGGTATGCTAAATTACGTAGCTTTAAATGGGAAACTTTATTAAACATTTAAATTAAGTTTAGGAGAGCTTAGTCATGCATTTTACAAAAAGTAAGGATTTCAATTA